CTGGATAAAAAGGATTTCTGGGGCAAGTCTGACCCTTTCCTGGAATTATATATATATATATCTATATATATATATAGATATATATAGATATATATACACACACATGTGTATACCCGGCAGAGCAACTTTGTGGGTGTTTTTTACACTTCAAATTAAACCAAATCAATTAAATCAATGCATCTTGTTGTTAAAACGACCTGGTTAATTAATTTAATTATCACTTGGAATAACTCAATACACACTGTGTTAGGAAAGAAAAGAAGAAGTCTGACCTCGCTCCTCATTGGCCACTTCTCTGACTATTAGATTCTGTAAAGAGATGACTGTAGAGCGATGGTCCTGGGGACAGAGAGTTTCACATCAGATTGGATCTTTGTCAGAACATATATGGATGAAATGAGCAGATATTGTATTTCTCAATTAAACAACAAAACAGGTTTTGCAGTGAGCTACCTACCAATGAGGCAAAGACATATTTCTGGTCTTTTTCCTGAAGAAAGACCAACACATCAGACAGGAGCAAGGCCTGAACATCTGCAACAGAAAGAAACAAAGATGACTGCAACATCCTGTCTGCCTTCAGAGACTGGACTGAAGACACTGGTTTACAACTTTTTCATTTTCTCTCTACAGAACAAAACAATTAATGCATGAAGACCTTTGAGTCGTCCAGCAGAGGTTTTCAGCTGCAGTGCTCCATCATGCAGCAACTTCCTCCCTCTGATCAGGTCCTCTTTAGCAAACATCTGACCACTCTTCATCCTCATGATGGACTTACTGTCAGTGCGACTGGAGAAAAAATACATCCAGAGAAGAAAAATTGGAGAGGCATGCAATGGCTAGAGTACACAGTAATGTGTTGTTATGTGACAGCTCAGTGTATGTCTATTATCATTTGTACATTATCTTATGTTTTATTTCATTAATTGGACATTTGACTGTGCAGGTATTTCAGAGAAAAATAATGTCTAACAGGTATCTCTCATTATTATGATATCTGTTAACTGTAAAGATCCCTGAAACTTTTTAAGAATGTATTTTACAAATGTACAGCAGCTGGCAGGAGAAAATGAAAATGAAAAATAAGAAAAGCTAAATAGTTTTGATCTCAAAATCAAATTATAGCTGCCGCGCATCAATGGTCAGGGCTGGGCAATTTTAGGTAAAATTAGGCAATTCTGAGCAACACACACACTAAAACAAAGCATATCACAACATAGAAGTTACATCATATAGTTATGGCATGCCCTTCAAACAACAACAAACTGGCCTGATCTAGCTTAAAGCTAAACATTATCCATGGTGACAAAGATGAAAACATTTTTTAAAATGTAAAAGTAGCTATTGGATAGATTCTTCATATTTACTGTTAGCTTAGCCAAATAAACAGTGAAAAGAGACAAGGGATAACAGGGAAAAGTGTTGATAAAGAGTATTTGTCTCTCCGCGAAACTGCCTGGATGGGACTGGACCTTTATGAAAAGTTTGGGTAGATTTCTCATATGGAAATGTTGCACGAGCTGAGGCTTGAACTCACAATCTTCAACACCAAGAACCATCCTCTATCTCACTGAGCTAATTGGCAAACGGAAATGTCACATGTAGCTTCACAAATTGACTAAGCCAGTCACCTGTGTGCAAGACAGCAGCTGTTAGTGTGTAAAGGCAGATTTCAAACGGCTGTCAAAAATTCAGTTATTAAGACAAAAATCCGAAAATACACAAATTGCATCTAGACAGCGTGGAGATGTTGGTAATTTGTTTTTAACAATGATTTATTGGCTCCATAAGTGAAAAACTGATGTTTAAAAATGCCATTTTTGCATTGACTCCAATCGTTCGCATGAAAGCGAAATTCAAAATGCTGTAAAAAAAAATCATTTTTTGAGATAAAATTCTGATATTTTCCAAACATCACCTACCATGACTTCAAATTTTGTCATTTTTTTAATGAACATTGAAAATGTATTTAGCAAGAATTTGCAAGTATATGTTTACAATACCGTTTACAGTCAAACATTTTGATGCACTGTAGGCTCAATTTTTGATAAATCAAAAATCTGTGTGGATCGTTTGTGTAGGACAGTCTGAAGATGCTCTGTAGCAAGTTTGGTGTCAATTGAGCAAAAATTGTGGGAGGAGATAGGTTTAATAGGTTTTACAGTTTTTGAAAAAAAAAACAGAGTGATGAACTTCATAATTTGCAATAGGTTTAAATATACAAAAGTTTCTTCAGTATTGGGGCTACATTTTGGTGAAAGTTGTAAATCTGTAGCACATGTGGTTGATTTGTTGTGAATTTTCAAAATTTTGAACTTTAGAGGCTTGCTGTAGTGCCACCATCAGGACTATTGGCCTGTTTTTGCAGCTGAGGCAATCTGGCATGGGACTGGACCTTTGTGCAAAGTTTGGTAATTTTTCGTGCATGGGAAGTAGGATTTCCTTGGAAGAAGAAGAAAGAAGAAGAACATGCAGGATAACAATAGGGTCCTGGCAGCTTAGGCTGCCCGGCCCCTAATAACAGTGTGGCCTTTTTCACACAATTACAGGTGTATTAAGTAGCTGTTCTGGAGCTTTTCATCACAAAACATGATCTTCATCAGCTACCATTGGACTTGATAGGCTTTCTAACTTTACATTATTATTATTAACCTTTATTTAACCAGGTAAAGCTTATTGAGATATAGAATCTTTTTTAAAAAAAAGCGACCTGGCCAAGAGGCAGCAGAATTTTATAGTACAAACAGTAATGCAAATAAATAACAATCGTACAATAAATAAAAATAAAATGATCAGGGACAGATTAAAAGAAGTGTAACATCTGATTTAAAAACAGTGACAAAGCCCAATGCTTTTGAGTTCCTTAGTTTTAAGAATTTTAACAAAGCTCTCCAGAGGGATCAGGTCCGACAATTTGAATTCATCTTGCAGAGACTTCCATGCAGAGGGAGCAGCAAAACAAAATGCCACTTTTTCCCCAGTTCTGTGAAAACACAAGGGACAGTCAAAGTAAAGAAGCCAGCGGATCGTAGGCTATAATGTCCATGATTCCTAACAAGGTGAATTCCGAGATAGGATGGGATCATACCAAGTAGAGCCTTATAAATAAAAGTCAACCAATGAGTGAATCCCTGACAGACAGGAATGACCATTCAGCTTTTTTGTACAAAGTGCAAATGATGGGTCAGATTTTTGCATCCAGTGACAAACCTCAGAGCACAATGATACACAGTATCCAGAGAACGTAAACATGTGACTGGTGCATGCATGTATAGTACATCACCATAATCAAGCAGTGGAAGATAAAGTAAGTGTGAAGTAATTTTGTTAAGAAGCATGTTAGACTCCCAGAACAGCTGGTGCTTCTCAAAGGAAGGATCCCTTAAACGGTTGAATTTCAAGCAGGCTACATCATCGAATCCCGCTGAAGGATTGTTCCAATATCAAGGATCCTTCAGATTCTACTGAGGACCGAGTCCTTCCTTCAGAGAATTTTCAAGGATGCAAGTGTGTATCCTCAGTAGGCATTAGGTACCCACAGTTTTTTGCGCACAATTTTCTGGAATTGAAGGCAGGCCTCTTCAATGATGCACACCTGGGCACTTGCTAGCATGTTCTAATGTTTGTTCACCTAATGCTACCTAGCCTCTGTAGGACCTTACTTGGACCCATCCTACCAAGGAAGCATTCTTGACTCTGAGAAGCATTAAGTGTCATGGCAAACACAACCCTAGGAATTTGATGCTATTACTATTAGGGTGCTAACTAGGGGTGTAAAAATACATGTATTTGCATAGAACCAATTGGCATGGGGCTTTTGGTTCAGTATGCATTACGAGCCAAATGACATTTTGAACTATCCTATTGCTTTTCACTCAGCAAGGTTGTTACATCCTTCACTTGTAATTCCCAACTAGGCTACTTAAGGAGGTCTTACTTTAGTTAACACTCATATATTAGATATGATCAATATATCCTTATTAACAGGCTGTACCACAGACTTTTAAGGTAGCTGTAATTAAACCCCTCCTAAAAAAGCCCACCCTGGATCCAGAGGTGTTAGCCAACTATAGACCAATATCTAATCTTCCCTTTATGTCAAAGATCCTTGAGAAAGTAGTCGCAGACCAGCTGTGTGATTTTCTCCAGGATAATAATTTATTTGAGGAATTTCAGTCAGGATTTAGAGTGCATCATAGCACTGAGACAGCTCTAGTTAAAATTACAAATGACCTTCTGATTGCTTCAGACAAAGGACTCGTCTCTGTTCTTGTTTTATTAGATCTTAGTGCGGCGTTTGACACAATTGACCATCAAATTCTACTGCAGAGACTGGATCACTTAATTGGCCTAAAAGGTTCAGCACTAAGCTGGTTTAAATCTTATTTATCTGATCGTTTTCAATTTGTTGACGTTCGTAATGAATCATCCTTACGTACCAAAGTTTGTTTTGGAGTTCCGCAAGGTTCTGTGCTCGGACCAATCCTATTTACTCTATATATGCTTCCTTTAGGTAACATCATTAGAAATCACTCTATAAATTTCCATTGTTATGCGGATGATACACAGTTGTATTTATCGATGAAGCCAGAAGAAAGTAATCAATTAACTAAACTCCATAACTGCCTTAAAGACATAAAAAATTGGATGAGCACCAATTTCCTGATGTTAAATTCAGACAAAACTGAAGTTATTGTTCTTGGCCCCAAACAACTCAGAGACTCTTTATCTGATGACATAGTTTCTCTAGATGGCATTGCTCTGGCCTCTAGCACTACCGTAAGAAACCTCGGAGTAATATTTGATCAAGATTTGTCTTTTAATTCTCATTTAAAGCAAACCTCACGGACTGCATTTTTTCATCTGCGTAATATTGCGAAAATTAGGCCTATCCTGACCCGAAAAGATGCAGAAAAATTGGTCCACGCTTTTGTTACCTCAAGGCTGGATTACTGTAACTCTCTATTATCAGGTAGCTCTAGTAAGTCCTTAAAAACTCTCCAGCTAATTCAGAATGCAGCAGCACGTGTACTAACAGGAACTAAGAAACGAGATCATATTTCTCCTGTTTTAGCTTCTCTGCACTGGCTCCCTGTAAAATCCAGAATTGAATTTAAAATCCTACTGTTAACTTATAAAGCTCTAAATGGTCAAGCTCCGTCATATCTTAGAGAGCTCATAGTGCCATATTATCCCACCAGAACACTGCGTTCTGAGAACGCAGGGTTACTCGTGGTCCCTAAAGTCTCCAAAAGTAGATCAGGAGCCAGATCCTTCAGCTATCAGGCTCCTCTCCTGTGGAATCATCTTCCTGTTGCGGTCCGGGAGGCAGACACCGTCTCCACATTTAAGACTAGACTTAAGACTTTCCTCTTTGATAAAGCTTATAGTTAGGGCTGGCTCAGGCTTGCCTTGTACCAGCCCCTAATTAGGCTGACTTAGGCCTAGTCTGCCGGAGGACCCCCTATAATACACCGGGCACCTTCTCTCTCTCTCTCTCTCTCTCTCTCGTCCTATTACTGCATCTTGCTAACTCGGCCATTCTGGATGTCACTAACTCGGCTTCTTCTCCGGAGCCTTTGTGCTCCACTGTCTCTCAGGTTAACTCGTATTGCAGCGGTGCCTGGATAGTGTGACGTGTGTGGTTGTGCTGCTGCCGTGGTCCTGCCAGATGCCTCCTGCTGCTGCTGTTATCATTAGTCATACTTCTACTGTTATTATACACATATGATTATTGTCACACATGTATACTATCAGATATTAATATATTATTATTAATTATAATATTATTACTATCATTAATGTTGTTGTAAGCTACTGTCATTACCATCTGTCCTGCATCTGTCTCCATCTCTGTCTCTCTCTCTCTCTCTCTGTCTCTCTCTCTTTCTGTCTCATTGTGTCATACGGATTACTGTTAATTTATTATGTTGATCTGTTGTGTACGACATCTATTGCATGTCTGTCCGAGTTTTTCCTTATCCACTGTGAGGATCCAAAGGACAGAGGGATGTCGTATGCTGTAAAGCCCTGTGAGGTAAATTGTGATTTGTGATATTGGGCTTTATAAATAAAATTGATTGATTGATTGATAATAGAATTCTAGTGGTCAAGCAGAGTTAATGCCATTTTAAAATTTTCAACACTATGCAGCATTCAGACAGATAGTAAAGGTAAAAAAGGCAAGTGCAGTTAGTTAGCTTTAAGTGTTTCAGTGAGTGTGCTCAGTTAGCAGTAAACTATGGCCCATTGTGGTTAGAGGTAAAATTGAATGCATAATGTTTAGAATTGCATACAGTATCTGATTTTGTGTATCCTTAGTTGTCAATTTATGGCAAAGTAGGGCCCCTAAAACTTATCCTGCTTAGGGCCCCCAGATGTCCAGGGCCAACCCTGCCTCCCACACCCAAACCAGAGCATTCTACTGCAGTGTGACACACTGTGAGGCTGCTACTCTAAGCTAGCTTGTTACAAGATGGCTGAGCCCAAGGCTAACGGCCACAATGGCTGAGCTCAAGGCTAACGGCCACAAATTTGAATTTATGAGCAGGTACAAGAAGAATACAGTGACTGTTTGACAGGTGGGCTCTGTGATTTCACTATTGTGTGATGAGATGGCTCACAACAGCTGGTGTCTCTGTAAAATGTGTTTGGGATGACCAGGGATTGACACAGTAAACTCACCTATTGTTTTCCTGATAATGCTACACTGTAAAAAACAAATCTGTATTAAAATCAGCATGAGGAGAGCCAGTTAACATTGGCCTCGTTTCCCAGTTAAGAACGATCTTAAGACTTAAGAGCACAGTTAAGAACGTCTTTGGTAAGAAGGGTCGCTAAGATACGAGTGTTTCCCAGATGTGTTCTTAATGCCCTTCTTAGGATCGCTTAGAAGATCGCTCTTTAAAAAGCTCTTAACAGGAGCTGGCCACTACCGCGTTGCTGAAACTAAATCAATTGATGTCAGGCAAATTGATCACCCACCACTTAATCAGCGCATAAGTCACACACAGCGCTGCTACCTAACGCACTAATTCCCTGCTGCTTGTGTGTATGTGTGTTCTAATAATTCTAATGAAAAACTAAGATGATAAATATTTGTTAATGACCTATTTTCATGATGAAAACAAGACTACAACTATATAAAAAGTAGTCTTGGTAAGAGAATCATGAGGAAATGTATTATATTCAAACAAAAAAAACACAGACGCCTTGCTGAGGCCGGTGCCGTCTCCCACCACCTCCAGGAAGCTCCCCACTGCATAAAAACGCAGCGCAGCCAGGCACTGCACCTCCGGGCTAAGGGTGAAATTGCACCGGGTTGCCGGATGTGTGGAGACACTAGTTGATGAGGCGTTATATCTCAGCACGGGGCAGCCGGTACTTCATTTGGACAGCCTGGTCTGACAACAAGTCGAGTGGGCTGAAGTGCTGACGCACAAATGCATTTACATATACACGGTGATGCTGTTGGTTAGCAGCGAGAATATTCTGTAAAGCAGCCATGATTCCTCACACATGTATGATGTGGCAACGCCTTTATGTAGAGTAGTGGGTGAATTGTCCCTTGATGAGGTTCCTGCTGAGCTCAATTACACCTGTCAGATGTGCACAGCACATACAGGAACACACTTGTTATTCCTCATACTTATTTTTCTTATTATTATTTTTCTTCTGCCAGATTTCGGTGCGTAACTTGTGCCACAGCTTTGAGCGTACATAGGGTCTTCATAAAACATATAGATTCAAGATTCAAAGTGTTTATTGTCATGTGCACAGTAAGGACACGCATTTCCCTGCAGAATGAAATTCGTTCTTTTCTGTCACAAATTAATGCTAAACAATATAAATCTGAAGTATAACATATATCAAAATATATACGGTGTGCACTGTGTAAATATCTCCTTGCTTAGTGTAATATTAATTTGCCTGACGCGGCTAGATCTGTGAGCGTTTGGTCTCTAAGAAGACTGTTAAGAGTGGGTCAGCTCCATCTTACAACTCCTTCTTAGTGAAAGATCTTCTTAAGCTAAGAGTGATCTGGGAAATGCGTTTTTCTTTCACAGGAGGCTTAAGAGCGTTCTTAAGAAGCTCTTAGCGCTAAGAGCGATCTGGGAAACATGGCCATTAGCTGTTAGAAGCCGGTGGCTGTAACCAACAGCTAATGGAGGTTGCATTGTGTGACATTATGATGCGTTAAAGCTCTGATCAGTAGTAGAGTATTGTGCAAAGGCAAATTATAGTGTTAGATAGTTCTAATGATATGTTCAGTAGCGGCTCGTGGTGAAATTGGGTGGGAGAGCTAACGCATTTGGCCTATGGCCTATACTGATCAATAGTTCAGCTGCAGTAACAGTAACATCACACCGAGATACAGTACCAGGTTACAGCAACAATGCACTACAACAAACCTAGAGAATTAGGCTAATTTCAAAAATGTTCTGATGCTAAAATCTCTCTCTCTCTCTCTCTCTCTCTCTCTCTCTCTCTCTCTCTCTCCCCCTCCCTCTGGCTCGCATGCACGCATGCACGCACGCGCGCGCACACGCACACACACACACACACACACACACACACAGACTATTTTCCGCTGTACAAACAGACAGGAAAGGTAAAGAAAGGAAAGGAGTAATGCTCCTTTAATAAGAGGTTATGGTTTGGGCTTTTCTGGGGATGCAAACAGGCTAATCACCTGTCATTAAGTCCGATTTTTGGATGAGGTCCCGCTCAATAGACAGCATTTAAAATAATCCACTTCTTTCAGCATGATGCTAACACAATTCGCAAGACTCAACTCTCACTCTCCCACTACAGTAACAGCGGACAGGCCCTCACTGTACTTCCACGCACTGTCATTGGCCAAAAGTCAGTGGCCTGGACTTAATTATTTTAGTCCAACTGAACAGTAAATCAAGGGGGCTTGTCACGACACCTGTCACTCACGAAGCTGATCCTAGAGTATGGGCTGTAAAAAATCAGCCCATTTAGATAAATCCTGCGTTTTTGTGACTATTTTAGTGCTGCTTCTGCTATAGGTTCCACCAAAAACAATCAGTTCCAAGGTAATAAATCAGTTCCAAAGGTTAATATTTTCTTTAATTTAATAATTTTCTCATCTTTATTGTAAAAGATAGGCAGGGCTGAGCCCTGCTAGCCCATTTATACCAGCCGTCTCAGGATATGTTCACAGTAATCTTGTAAAATGTAGTTTTTAGTGAAAAACTTGAATAAATACAGCTGTTGAAAGGAGAAATGTGTTAATGTTTTCACAGCAGTATAAAAAAAGATATTAGAGAGGGAATTATGACAATATCATATATCGTAAAAAGGCTTCTCAAGCAGTTATTTGTTTTAAAATATGCTTCCATGTAAAAGGTTATATTAAAGATTGTTTCATAAATGTGTATGATTGAATTTGTGCTCGTTCAAAGGTAGCGTAATGAAGGGCTGAATGACTTTAAAACTGTTTATTTATTTCTTTATAGTGTAGAATTCTTTGTTTTCCTGGCAAATGGGGAATAAATAACAACAAAAATGATATAAACAACAATTTAAAAACATCGGTATCAGCTATCAGCCAAATTGTTATTTTAAAAATTTGAATCGGTCCAGATTTTCAAAATTGGTGCATCCTCAGTTTGTTTGTTTGTTTTTTCTAACTACAATACTACATTTTAATTTATATGAGGAGCTGTTTTGTTTTATGAACTGGTAAAAAGACACCCTAGATGATAGGTAGTATGGTTCCATCATTGTTCCAAGTCAAAAAAAAAATCATACTTTATGATGTTAATTTTGATAGATAAAAATTAAATAAAAGAAAAAAAAAAAGAAAAAAAATTAAAAATCAAGAAAATGTCGGCATTTCTACTCTTTTGCTGTGTTGAAAATGTACCATACCAAGATACCACTGTATCATACCAACCAAACCGTGAATTTTGTGAACTGTTACACCCCTTGGGCTAACATTTGTCTAGGCTTCCAAAGCTTGGCTGCCCATACCAGAGAGTGAGCGTTTGGCTGCAGGGCTTAAGGTAAGGGATGTGGGCTTAACTGTTGCCTTGCTGCCTGGCACTGATCCGACGGCAGTCATCTGGTTAGCTCACGCTCTGTGGTCAGACACTGCTTAGCATCTGTACTCCAGTTCATTTGTAGATATTAAACACACGGACATTACCTTAAAACAAAAACTTTATAGGGATAAGGGGGAAACTCCACTGTCTGTCTTCCTCGCAGCACTTAGAAATATCTCTAATAAATTTTAGTTCTGCACCAGGTCCAAATCATCTCTCTTGACTACTTTGGCATGCTACCTTTTAAACTAACACCAAAATGTCCTCCCCTGTTGCGCGTCCCCCTTGGTGGTTAGGTTTAGGGCAAAGGGTTTGGGTAAGGTTTAGGCAGGAGGAAACACATATCAATGCAGAGCAGACTTCGACACAATACCAAAACCAGCTCTACCACTAGGTGAGCCCACCCCCCCTTACCTGACAGCCATGCAGGACAGCCAATAGGGAGACAGTGTGCCGTGACAATAGAGGGAGAATTTCAATTAGTTCTGCACATGTTATTGTCATAGTTTGAACAGGCCTGATGAGCTAAATCCTTTCCATCTGCTGATCTAAGAGCTGATACATACAGTGTGTAGTTTCTACCTGTAGACTTCCCTCAGTCTCCGTTTCTTCTCCTGCTCGTTGACTTTACTGTCCACAGCCATGATTAACTCCTTCACACAGCGCAGAGCTTCATAAACAGAGCCGTAGTCTTTATCTGAGTCTGTTGGAGCAGTGAGGTACCACATAAAACATATAAAACACATCTTGTGTAACTGCACTATGATACTGATATAGTTCAAGTGTCATACACTGAATTATTAAGTAGGTAGATACATGTCATCTCTGGTTAATTGCTGATGGCACAGTTCTTAAACTGAGGTTTTCAAAGAAACATTAAATACAGTAGCAATATCATCTCCAATCACTAACCACTTTTTACATTGATTCCAAATTAACAATACACTGTCCACACCATTCACTTATATTTTACACTTCTGTGCTGGTTGGGACTTGTTACAGGGTGTGTCTCTGTCCTTACCTTTAGTGTGCTGAAGTATCCTTTGGATGAGAACAGGATATTTTGTGATCCTCTGAGTGACCAACAAAATGCACTCTGGAATACTGAGTCTCCGCACAATGCTGCTGCTCATTGTCCTCTGCACAAACAAGAAAATACACAGAGGTAATTTCACAATCAAATACCACAGATGCAAAGGAACCACAGAACTGTAACATCCCCTGATGTGTTAAATATATATAGAAAGAAGCTGGTATGAGATGGGTGCTGACCTTGATGAAAGCTTGGAAGCGTTTATCTTTGGCATGCAGGTCTTTGTAGAGATTGACAGCTTCATTGTGGCGACTGCAGAACTTCCCATAAACTTTCTTCATACGATCAGCACTGCAGCCTGAAAACTGAATTTAAAATCAACATTTCAAGTTAAATTGAAAGCCTCTAGACTGTTTTCAGTTTGCTCCAGTCAGTAGACATTGTCTCTATTGAGTTGAATTGCCAGGGGACAGAAGTGAAGTCTGCTGAGGTCAGTTTAAAAGGATTAGCCTTCATTTCATTGTCTATGTCTCCATATGTTGGTTGAATCAGTGATATCACCTTCAGATATGCCTGAGCCCATATAGGATGTGCCATTGTTGTTATTAAAGGGTCATTCTGTACATTTTTTATGCTTTTCTATGAACGGGAACATGTGTAGTGGTCTAATTGATTATCTGACCAATTTAGAGTCACCAATTAACCTGAATGTCTTTGGACTGTGGGAGGAAGCCAGAGTACCCGCAGTAAACCTATGGTGACATGGGGAGAACATGCAAACTCCACACAGAAGGGCTCCCCTGGGTTCGAACCCCCCACCCCAGGTTCGACCAGGAACCCTCTAGCTCTGAGGCGACAATGCTAAGCATGGCACCAATGTGCTGCCCTATCTAAATTCACAAGAGTCTCAATATGAAACATTATTATCCACAACATCGTCGCCAGAGCAGATGGGGTTTTCATCCCAGCAGCCTCTCCTCTTCTTTTTCATACTCACCTGGTTGAGCAGGATGTCCCCGATGCTACAGATGTAGAAGCTGTTGTTGTTTTGTCCCTTAACTGTTGAAGCCCTCTTTCTCTCCAGGAGTAGGGTGAGGAAATGTGAGTGTGTGTCAAACAGCCTGTCTAAAACTGGGAAAATCTAGAGAGAATGAGCAATAGAGTAGCTCTTAATGTGTGTATTTTAATGATGATTTTCTTAGAAATAATGCTTGTATGCATGTGTCTATAGGTGGAACTACTCTTGAGCACATTCATCACCTTGTCCAGAGTGTGAGTGTCAAACTGCAGCTCCTTCTGAAGGCCTTTATAGTAAACTTCAGACATGATCTTCAGCGTCCTCACATGGTGGACCTCTGTCTGGAACAACTCTGTGGAAAGAAAGGGCTCTTATTTCCACAGGTATGGATATGTGGAAATGAGAGCATTCACATGTAAAGTTTAACTTCCTTCCAAAATAAGTGACATCATATCTTACCATAGATGACATCTTGTTTCTTGATTTCATCTTTCCTCAACATTTTCAAGAACTTCTTATCCATCATACCGCTCCAAGAATCAGCTTCCAGATCTATAATGTCACACTCAAACTCTCCAATCAGCTGACTGTCTATCATCTCAGTACCTTCAACACACACACACACACACACACACACACACACACACACACACACCAGAACCAAAGAACCATTTAAAGGGCACATGCAGAAATCTGTATCAACATCAGGTTTGTCAGACACACAAAAATACACTCTCCAGTTTTTTATACAGTGGCATGCAAAAGTTTAGGCACCCCTGGTCAAAATTTTGTTTAATGTGAATAGTTAAATAAGTAGAAGATACACTGATTTCCAAAAAGGAAAAAGTAAAGGATGACACATTTCTTCATTATCTTAAGCAAGATTACTTTTTAATTTCAATCTTTAACAGTTTCAAAATAACAAAAAAGCAAAGCCTGAAGCACAAGTTTGGGCACCCTGCATGGTCAGTACTTAGTAGCGCCCCCTTTGGCAAGTATCACAGCTTTTAAATACTTGGTAAACAGGTAAGAGTCTTTCAGTTCTCTTTTGAGGTCTATCGACAGATTTTTAATGATGTTTAGGTCAGGGGACTGTGAGGGCCATGGCAAAACCTTCAGCTTGAAATTAACTTACTTTTTTACATGGTAGCACTGGTGCTCCTAACTTCAAAAAGTTAGTCAGTGGTAGCCTGGCGTTCAGCCTGTCTAAAATTCGCAAAACGCGAATGGGTCTGGACACAGACTGTACATTTCCTGTATTCCCAAGGGGCGGTATCAACGGCTGTCACTCAAAGTGCCCCTTCACGCAGTTGGAAAGACAGAAAACCAATCAGAGTAAATGAAACATGTGACGTAGGCTAGCACAACGGCACTGTAAACAGACCAGCAAGCTGCAGCGGAGATGAGGTGTGATGATGTCTGGGAAAGAGTGTTGCCGTCTTTGCCAAAAAAATATGTTAGTAAAATGTCCGCTGCGGATTTCCTCCTCACTGTGGACTCCGAGTTTCATGGCTGTGATTCCCAGCTTGGTTGCTTCCCTGACCTGCTCCTCCATGAGAGCAACTAGCGGAGAAACAACAATAGCCACTGGGTTTTCACTGAGTCCCATCTTTTTCCCGATCAACGGAGCCAGATGGTAACCAAACCCCGTAGGAAGGACGGCAAACACACACTTTTTTTCAACAAAAGCTTTCAGCGCAGCCGTTTGCTCTGCATTTAAAGAAGAGCCTTTATGATTGCATGGCCAGACTGATCTGCGGAGCGAAATAGAATATGAGCTCGCGAGATTAGTATGGTTTCACCAGGCTAGTTCAGTGTCAGCACTCACAAATATCATATATATATCCGTCTTTTAATAACGCACGTGTTTTTAGGATCATTGTCCTATTGTAGAAGCCATCTTCTTTTCATCTTCAGCATTTTTACAGATGGTGTAATGTTTGCGTCCAGAATTTGCGGGAATTTAATTGAATCCATTCTTCCCAACCTGTGAAATGTTCCCGGGCCACTGGCTGCAACACAAGCCCAAAACATGATTGATCCACCACTGTGTTTAACAGTTGGACAGGTGTTCTTTTCATGAAATTCTGCACCCTTTTTTCTCCAAACAAATATTGTCCAAAAAGTCAGTCCACAGGACCTGTTTCCAAAAAGCATCAGGTTTATTTAGATGTTCCTTTACAAACTTCTGATGCTGAATTTTGCGGTGAGGACAGAGGAAAGGTTTTCTTCTGATGAATCTTCCATGAAGGTCATATTTGTACAGGTGGCGCTGCACAGTAGAACAGTGCACCACCACTCCAGAGTCTGATAAATCTTTCTGCAGGTCTTTTGCAGTCAAATGGGAGTTTTGAGTTACCTTTATAGCAATCCTACCAGCAGCTCTCTCAGAAAGCTTTCGTGGTTTTCCAGACCTCACTTGACCTCCACAGTTCTTGTTAGCTGCCATTTCTTAATTACATTACACACTGAGGAAACAGCTACCTGAAAACACTTTGCAATCTTCTTATCCATCTCCTGCTTTGTGGGCATCAGTTAATTTAGTTTTCAGAGTGCAGGCACCTGTTTAGAGGAGCCCATGGCTGCTGATTGTTAATGTTTCAGGAGCCAGAGGAGCCTTGAAATTTCTATCATCTGGCCTTTCCCAACAATGATTGTAAACAAGACAGAGACCTAACAAGCGAATTAAGATCTGACACTCTGGTAAATTTGTCTAAGAACTCAAATTTCTTTTGCATGGTGCTCCTTTCCTTTTTTTCCACTCTAAAATTGTACAATACAAAAATAATACACTAATCCTGCTTAACATGTTAAAAAGCATGTTTCATCTTTAACTTCATGGCTTTTGGAGCTCAGTTCATCCTCTACTCACTTAATTATTCACAGTAAAAGGAATTTTGACCATGCATGCCCAAACTTTTGCATGCTACTGTACTTGTTTTCATAGCATGTGTGTCTATGTGTGTCTGTGTGTGTGTGTGTGTGTGTGTGTGTGTGTGTGTGTGTGGGCGTTTGTGTGGATGCTACCGTCATCGGTGAGTGACTCAGTTGAGGCACTGACTTTGCTCCCCTGATTGAGAGAGTCAGTGGACTGGGACAGAAACTTCAGGCCTTTCAGTGGCACATCATCTAACCTACAAGGAACAAAACCGTGAACATGAATGACATTTTATATGTCCAGTCCCTACAAACAACAATCACAACCTTTAGTTCTATAGCATATATACAGGCTGCTTCACACTAACAAAGGGAACAAAGAAAGATATACCAGGAAAATAAATTAACAGCAAGAATGAAAACAAAAACTGCTTCGATCAATACAAATGAAACAAATCCAAAACAGAAAGGGCATAAAAATACCACTCACCCCAAAAATACATTCTAAGAATAAATTCTTAGTATATAAGCACTGCTTACAGAATCATAATTTACTGAGCTGGGACAATCCTATCAAATTTATAGATGGTTGTCTTGTTTATGCATGTTTATGATTATGCATCCTTACCCCCTCCGTGCATTTATCCACCTTATTTCTAGCCCCCATGATACCTTGTGTGAATTATGGGCACAACTTTGCCGCTGAACCGGAACCAGCATTTTCCAATGGTAATGTTAATGGTATGCTAATTCTCGGTAAATCTGTAAAATATTCTCAGCCTAGATGACTTATGTTAAACACATAGTTCAAGGTATGCTGCTGCTGAGTTTATTTAATAACGGGCAATTTAGTAATGTAGGTTGAGAATGCAGTCAGACAGGGAAAGACAGGGATATCATGTACTGACATTGAAAATACCTTCAGTCTCAGCATCAAAAAAGTTTTTCTTTCTCTCTCCGTCTTTGTTTGCTCCATGTTTGCAGGTTGACAGGATGCACCTATCCATAGTAATTTTCACCTCCATATATGGTGGTCATTGGCTATTCATGGGTGGGGATGTATGCTAACTGATGACTAACAGAAGCACACTGTCAAATTATAATTGGCATAAACATGCACATGTAGCTATAATCAAATCTGAGTTTCCCGCGGGTTTATGAATCCGGTGTAGGTTTTTAGTACCACGGTTTTTTATGTGCAAATCTACTCAAAGATTTACTGTCATTTCATGAATGAGACCAACTGAGTGATATTTAATCATTAATATACATAAATAACAAAAACATTTTTGATAAGGCTTGCCTTACTTTGTGTGTGTGTGTGTGTCTGTGTGTCTGTGTGTTTGTGAGAGATATTTCACCCTGCTATGTTGCTGGTGGAGATGCTCTTGGCCAGGTTGCTGTGTGGGTTGAAGATACTGGAGTGTCTCCGTGGAATAAACTGGTCATCAGGAGTGGTGACTGTGGACCAGCGTTCCCGTGATGATGAGGAGGATGTGGAAGACACAGATGATGCTGAAGATGCAGCTAGATATAAACATTAGATTACACATTTAGGACTTATTCAGTTGTAGACTTCCATGTCTAGTTTATTAGGAAATACAGATTTAAAATTGAGTAGTCTCGCTAAGACTGAGATGTCTTTATTATCAGATCTTTGACAAGGTCAAACTAATGGTAACACATTTTTTCACCCTGCTCTGCTCCCTTTTAAAGTGTGCCATGTTAAAGGCTATATCTATACTATTTGTATACCAGGCTCTTTCTTTACCTGAAGCTGAAGCCACAGGGCACAAGGTGGTCCCTCTCATCTGATGCTAACACTACTGGGGATTCTGCCTCATCTGTAATATAGTGTATTCTTCCTGTCGATCACTGTTTTTACAATCAGGTAGGCCTGTTTCATCCTTATGGACCTCACTGTTGCCTTTTAAGGGCTCATTTATGCTCAATGTGAGATATGGACAGAGCCCTCTGTCTGCGTTCATTTTGTCCATGTTTAGGCATGTTTTCTTAGATTCTTAAGGCTCATTTATACTCCCTTTACATACAATAATAGATATGTCCATTTCAAATGTTGCAAATGTCACTGCCCTCATACTTCCTTGCATTCTTTATGATAGCACAGACACAGCCAATATATGACACTAAAGGGCAGGATCAAAAGTTTCATACAACGACAAATGAGGCGACAGTGGAGGAGGTTGTAATATTGTACCTTTAAACGGAGGCAGTGTTGTCGACAGCAGTGCTCTGTGAGGTCATTAGATTTACTTTGATATGAATGGAAAAAAAATTCACTATAGTACTGATTTGTTCCATTCGGCATTATTTAAATTTCTTTGTCATCTCCTACAGTTATATCTCGCTTGAATTACACCACACTGCCTCCACGATATGCGGTGGTGCTGCTCTGTTTCATCCGTATTCGTAAGCTTTCAGAAAATGTGCCTCTGTCCAACTCTGTCTCCATTTATAACATTGGGCAGAAATTAGCCCTTAGCCTGGGAAAGTTACGATGAGACAAAGGAGAAGAAGACAGCTTGCCTGGCTCTCAGGAAAGAGAGACGGAAAGAAAACAAGAGGGAGGGAAGGAGAACAGAAAAGAAGTGTGAGTGAGTCTTACTGTTGCAGAGGAAAGTTTCCTTATTATGCAGGACTTTGATGCTGGCTGTAGAAGGAGATGGGCTAACTGGGAGTAAGACATGATCGTTTGCACTCTTCTTGTCTCTGTCTTTACTCTCTCGTTCTCTCTCTCCCTTTCTGTCCTTCTCCTGGAAGCAATGAAAGAGAGGCACAGATAATCAATAGAGAAAATATTAACAGACTTTTTAATGTTTGTTTTTTTGTCTCATCAAATGATTTCAGTTGAAGGTGCTTTTTTTTCATATTGTCACATTAATTTAAGTCATTAAGTCTTTAAGTCTTGCTCAGCAATTGCCTACACTGCCCACATAGTCCTAACATATCCACCGATATTATATGCTATAATGTAAACTATATGGCAATGTCACAAACTGGCTCAGAGTATGTGACAAGAAGGGAGTCCACACAAAAGATTTACTTAAAACAAGCCAAATTTATTAAACTAAAATTAACTTAATAATCAATGGAGTGTGTAGATCAGCAAAGTCAGTCATGAAAGCCATGCATGGGTGAGTGTCAGGTGTTCTGTGGAGGTGTTGACAGTGCAAACCAAAACCAAAGCTGCTCAGTGGCTATCAGCTGAAAGGAAGGGAGAGACCAAGTGAACAGATTAGGCAGCTTTTATAGCTTGGAAGCCCAGGTGAGCCTAATCATGGTAACAACCCTCCCATGTCAGCCAGCTGCCTGATGAGACTGGCTGAAACATTCTCAAAGACATTGGAGGGGCGTCACCATGATTAGGCTCACTACAGAAGCTTCTGTAAAAAGCTTCTGTAAAAACTTCTCGGCTGTTGCGGCTCCGCTCACTGATCTGCTGAGTCCAAAGACTCTCTTCCATTGGTCTGACAGTTGTCAGCGTGCGTTTGACTGTGTACAAGCCTTGCTAACTCATGCTCCAGTCTTGGCTGCGCCCACATTTGATCGTCCATTTAAAATGTCTGTTGATGCGAGTGATGCGGGGGCGGGTGCTGTGCTCCTTCAAGATGGAGATGATGGGGTGGAGCATCCAGTCTCCTATTTCTCAAAAAAATTTAATCCGCATCAATGTGTGTACTCTACTATTGAAAAGGAGGCTCTCGCGCTTATCTTGGCACTCAAACATTTTGAAGTTTATGTCGGCTCTGCTAGTGCGCCCGTTGTTGTGTACACTGACCACAACCCTCTTGTGTTTATTCATCAGATGCTATACGCCAATCATAGGCTCATGCGCTGGGCACTATTTTTACAGTCTGTCAATGTGGAGGTCCGGCACATCAAAGGCCGAGAGAATGTCCTGGCCGACACATTGTCCAGATGTTAGTGCGTGAATGATGTTCGCGGCGCTTCCCCCCCATTCACGTTTTTAGGGTGGGGGTGTTACGTGCAGCAGCCTGTGCTGTCTCTCTCTCCTGTCAGGTTTGTCTCCCTCCTCCCTCTGCCTGCTGCGCACCTGAGTGCAATCGGCACTCAGGTAGAGAGAGGAGGAGGGGATAAGAGGGACAGGGAGAGTAGAGACAGGGCTTGGCACACGGCACAGACACCAGCACAGGTGGTGAGGAGTTTTCCCCTTTTCCTCCTTTGTTCTCTTTCCCCAAGCAGGTTTTTCCCCCATGCTCATTTAGGAGCTGGGGTTTTGTTGTGTTAGTTTGTTGTTTTAGTTTGGGCTGGAGATTACCGGTAGTTACTTTATTCGTCTTTTTGTTTATTCTAGGTTTAGTTCCTTTTCAGGTAGTTTAGGGGGAGACGCTGGGAACGACGGCCCACTGCGTGGTTGGCTCAGCGTCTTCCCTCCTTTTGTTCTTTTTGGCCGGGGTCTCCAGTCCCTTTTGTTTCTCTCTTAGTTGTTTGTGTTTTGGTTAATATTTTGGGTTACAAAAATAAAGCTTGTGGGTAAACTGTTTACCTGCTGTTACTGCTTTTGGTGTGGCGTCCTCTTTTATATGTTGCAGCCTCCTGCCCCTATGGAGCCATGATTTCTGTGTTTGTATGGAGGCCGTAACAGGCAAAATCAACCCAGTCTCACTCCAAAGTCGTCCAATACTGGTGCTTGGGCAATGACTTCTGGCGTCAGACAATGATGAAAAAAAGATGACCTTTCACGTTGGCATGATACACGCGCAGTCACCGTTAACGTTTACGGGCGCCTGGCAGCGTCAGGGGTAGATACAGTGGGACAACAATTTAAGTAAAGGGGATGGAAGTCCGAGGAGGGTGGATGAGTCCAACATAAAACATAGGGGCCAGATGCATACATGATATGTATGCACACAACCATGAATATGCTACTTTACACATAGACTGGTGCTAAAGAAGAATCACACAGACTTCAGACCAGTGTCCATACAGTTTGAGCTGTGGGTGAAATGATGCTGTGAAGGTTTGCACAGTAGCGAGCTCTTGGTGGATCCTGTAAAGCATCACTTTGCCAAGCAGATGAATGTAGTACACCTTCAGGTATACAGTCTCTCTCTTTCTTTCTTTCTTTCTTTCTTTCTTTCTTTCTTTCTCTCCCATTTATCATCTTTATTCTATACACTTCCATTCCATTAACTAAGATTGACATTGTGTGTCATCTACTAACACACAACAATTCAGGATGTGTGTTTATAATGTAGCTTGTCTCTGCCCATCACTGAATTCCTCTGCTGCTGAAACTCTCATCCATGCCTTCATCACATCCAGAACTGACTACTGTAATAGCAGTCTTATGGTACATTATCCAAAGTCCTAAATAAACTCAACACTCATACATTCAGAACTCTGCCATCCGTCTGCTGTATTCTATTTTCTGATTGTTTTTAACTAATGTAAAGTGTCTTTGAGTACTATGAAAAGTGCTCTATAAATAAAATGTATTATTCAATTCAATTCAAATAACTTTATTTATCCCTGAGGGGCAATTTAAGAGCAGCACACTGAGTAGTTCAGAGAAAAAACACACAAGAGACAAGACATAAATAACTACAATATAAAAACAAGGGTAAAAACACATTCTTAAAGTGCAGTGCATTAGAGTCCAGTCCAGCCCTCCTATACAGTCTCAACCTTCCTGAGAAAGGAAGGTTTGGAGGTGGGTTGGGTGTATTGACATCACTAAGGCAGCAGGTCAGTGATGGCTGTGAGTTGAGCAGGAGGACAGCTCTGGGAACAAAAGTTGCCCCCCTCCTCTGAATCCTACAGCCTGGGCAGCGAAGACAACGTCCAGATGGAAGCCACTCAAACACTGCAAACAGGGGGTGTGATGGGTCCTGAAGGATCCTACTGGCTTTCTTCAGTCTGTTGCTCGCAGAGTGTGGAGAGGGATTGTACAGGTAGACCAATGATGGAGCAGATCTTCACTACACCAAGCAGCCGGTTTCTGTTTTGAAGTGGGATTGAATGGAACCAGCATGTGAAGGAGAAGGTGATGATGCTTTCTATGAAGGAGTAGTAGAATGTTGTGAGGATGTTTTTGCTCACGCCGAAAGAGTTCAGCTTCATCAGGAGATACAGTCATTGCTGGCACTTTTTATGAATTTCATCAGAGTTGTGATCAAACTTCAGCTGGTCATCGAATACTGTGCCCAGGTACTTGTATTTCTCCACCACTTCCACAGGTTCCCCATGAATGGTGGTGACTACAGCCTCAGCCAGCTCCCTCTGTCTTTTAGAGAAGGTCACTACCATCTCTTTGGTCTTGGTTACATTCAGCTCCAGTCTTTCAGCTAGAATATGTGGCTGCAGAGTGTTAAATGCAGAGGAGAAGTCAGCAAACAGCAACCTGGCTTTTTTTTGGGTTTTCAAGATGCTCATGTATGGTGTTAATGAGAAAGGCTTTTGCATCATCCACCCCTCTCCCTGCCCGATATGCAAATTGAAGTGGATCCAGCTGACCGTCTACTGCTGTGATAATGTGATTTTTTATCACCCTCTCCAAGGCCTTCATCACAAGAGAGGTTAGGGCAACAGGCCTGTGGTTGTTCGGCACCTTTACAGTGCTTCTTTGGGGGAGGGGAATCACTGTCGAATGTTTCCACAGCTCAGGAACTGTGGAGCTGGCAACTAAACTCTGAAAGAGGAGCTGGAAGACTCCACCTAGCTGATCAGCACAGTGCTTCAGAGTTTGGCCACAGATCTTATCGGGTCCAGGTGTTGTGTTGACTTTGGTCCTTTTAAACATTCTTACCACATCTTCAGAACTAATATTAAGTGCAGAGCCACCAGTTTTTAATGAAGCCATGGCTGTTTCAAGCTGGGCACTATTGTCAGTCTCAAATCTTTTGAAAAAGGAGTTGAGGTCATTTGGCAGTGATGCTGGACTACTCTCCTCAACATGGATGGCTTTTTGAGAAGTGGAAGTTGTATTCACAGCTGCCATATTTTTGAGACCTTGCCAGGCTGCGTGCAGGTTACCACCTTTGAATTGTTGCTCAACTTTGTCCCTGTACTTCAGCTTGGCAACTTTTATGGCACGCTTCACCTCTTTGTTGATCTCTTTTTTCTCATTGTCAGAACCAGAGAAAAAGATCCTCTTTTTCCTGTTTAGGAGAGCTTTTAATTCTTTTGTCACCCATGGTTTGTTACTGGGAAAGATGGTAATTGTTTTGGTGGGATGATGTTATCCACACTGTTACGGCCCCCAGCCGTTAGTGTGTGTTATTAGTGTTGTATATTATATGTTTCGTATTTTTGCCGTGGGTTTTCCTCGTCCATTATTTTTTAGTTCAAGTGAGCGCTCCTGTTTGTTGTACAATCTTTGCTCATTGACAGGTCCCGCCGAAAGCCATTGGTCCTCCGCAGCTGCTACAGATGAACTGTCAACGAGTACGCAATGGTGCTCTGAGTGGTTTACCCTGAAGAGAAGCTTCACTTTATTTGTGTCATGTTTTTGGTTTGATTGTCCATATTGGATTGTGCCTTAACTCTTGAGCTGTAGAAAATAATTACAGCCTTTTCTTTGTAAAACGTCGTCTTCTGCCTCATTTATGTTGTGCCTCTGTTCCCCTAGCCTGGGGCATAACACACACAAAAAGAAATATATGGTGTCATAGTGTCCACCTGCTCATTGATGTTGTTGGAGGGGGCTATTAGGTTCATCCAATAAGTAGTTTCAAAGCACCCTTGTAGCCTCTCCACACTGTCACTTGTCCATTGCTTGATAGTCTTAACGACCTTCTCTGCTCTCCTCACAACAGGTAAGTATGCTGGTGCAAGCAGGATGGCGGCGTGATCAGCAGATCCAAGTGGGGGGAGGGCAACAGATTTATATGCATTAGGAACAGATCCATAGCATTTGTCAAGAGTCTTCCCCATATGGGTGGTGCAGGTGACATATTGATGAAAACCTTTGAGAAAATTTTTGTCAGCACTGCAGTGATTAAAGTCACCAAGAACAAATTTTGGAGAGTCTGGGGAGATGAGTTCAAACCTGTTGAGTGTAGACATGATGTGGTCAGAAGCTGCAGATGCCTTTGCTTTAGGATGAATATACACCAAGATAAAAAATAGCTGAGGGAATTCTCTGGGGAGTTAAAAGGGATGTAGGGCAACCGCCAGGAGTTCAACGTCCGCAGTATACAGTCTCTCCCTCTTGCCAGTCAGCTGACTGTCTCGGTCGAACCTTGTTGTCCTGTATTCGTACATGTATGTTGCATTGGCTTGTAGTTCATGTCTTGTTGTGTACTGAACGCACATTGGCTAAGATGACTGAGGGAAGCAGTTGGTGTTTACCTCTCTCCCGTTTGAGTCTGGCTCTCACTCCGCTCTTTTTCTTCCTCCCCCGCCGGGTCGTTTTCTTTCTGTTGGTATCCGAGGCATAGCTGGATGGACGGATGTGTAGTATCTCCTCTGGAATCGTCTCTTCAGGTGCTTGATTCGCGTGGAGCTGAAGCTGAAGCAGGAAGCCTCTGGAGTATGCAACACGCCTGCTGATTGCCGTGCACGACGAGTAATCCACAAAATGCACAAGTTGTAGAAGCACCACAAAACACAGTCCCAGGTAATCCATTGCACTTAAGTCACAATCCCAAAAATAAATGAAAGAGAGTAGAAGAGGTTAAAAGACAGAAGAGACTTAAAAAGAACCACTCAGCGAGCCGACCGGTCAACCGCACAAGCAGCGACCCGGAACCTATACTACTATTAGTAGTAGTAGTACTATTACTATCATTATAGTTACTAATATTATCATTATTATATCATTGACCAAACAGTGGTTACTGATTTAGAGTGATTCTTGTGAGAGCACTCATGTTTATAGAAGTTTTTATTTCATCTTTGATCTCCATTATAACATGAACAAATTCAGCAGGATAAGAAATGCAGCAGACAAAATCACATCAAACCAGCTACAAGCACAACACTGACATGAATCTCATAGACTGACTGCAGTGAAGTCATCTAAAAGGAAAGAAGGAAACTGTTTCAACTTCCTGTTATGAGCTGCTGATGGTGTTGCAGGGCTGACTGCACCAGTGATGACACAGTCTACCCTGTTTTGTGTGTGTGTGTGTGTGTGTGTGTGTGTGTGTGCGTGCGTGCGTGCGTGTGTGCGTGCGTGCGTGTGTGCTCTTGTACATGCTACTTAGTGAGGACCAAAATATGTATTTGGTCCTCACTTCCTTAAAGGCTTGTTTAAAGGGATAGTGCACCCAAAAATGAAAAGGAAGCCATTATCTACTCACCCATATGCAGAGGGAGGCTCAGGTGAAGTTTCAGAGTCCTCACAACGCGGAGATCCAAGGGGAGAGGGGGTAGCAACACAACTCCACCTAATGGAGGCTTACAGCGCCCAAGATTCAAATGTCCAAAAACACGTGTAATCCGACTTTTTATGTCAGGGCTTCAGGACACTTAGATCACTACGGACAAGCAGTATGGAGATATTTTGTGGTTTCAGTTATGTGTTTTTGGACGTTTGAATCTGGGGTAACTTAAGCCTCCATTAGGTAGAGCTGTGTTGCTACCCCCTCTCCCCTTGGATCTCGGCAAGTGTTGTGAGGACTCTGAAACTTCACCTGAGCCTCCCTCGGCATATGCACTTATCCAGACTTTATGCAACAGAAATCACATTCACATAGACTCATTTACAAACAGGCTTTCAACAGAGCTACACCCAAGATGCAAATCAAAGTTTCCGCTTCTCTTCCTTTGTCTTTGTCCTGAAAACACAGTCAGACAAAACCTCCCCTGATCTGAAGCCAGCTTTGATTCGGCCACCTTTTAGTTCTCTGTTGTCAGCCATTTTGTTTTGTAGGCCAAACGGCCCTTTGATTACCACACACCTTTGTCTCTCGCTCTCTCGCTCTCTCTCTCTCTCTCTCTCTCGCACACACACACACACACACACCAAGCTTGTATATAGATATTTAGCTAGAATTTGTGTGTTTTGGTTTTGCTTTACTTACTTACTTACGTAATGAATAAATATAATTTTTTGGAATCATACCTGCTGTCTGTTTAATATTGCACAAGAGTGAGTGAATAGTTAACCTCTGCTATGCCAAGAACTCTGAAATCCTTCAGGCTTTACTGTTAATTTTGGTTATGGTTATTAATTTAATTATAAATCAAAAATTCCAAATAGTTTAGTGTATTTTATGAGACTGATATCTTTAACTGGCTATCATTTTTGCCTTTTCTGGAATGGTGCCCCACGAGGTGTTGTAAATTATGTAAATCAAGTCACATTATTTAACATAATCAATAATTATTATTAATAATGATTAATTATTTCCGATCCCAACACACACACACACACACACACACACACACACACACACACACTTAAATACAGAATTAATTTCAAAATACTGCCATTTGTTTTTTAAGCCTTAAATGGATTAGCTCCATAATATATTACCAACCTGCTAACTCCATAATTTTAAATCACATTTTTAACATTCTCTTCCTGTTTTTGTTTTTTTTGTTGTTGTTTTTTTCTTTCATTACATTGCTCTTGCTTTTATCATGTGAGTTGTTTTGAGTCTTTATGAATCTTTTACTTCTTCAGTCATGTAAACTTTGTGTTGGGGCAGATCCTAACCTATCTGCCCTGACTGCAAAGCACTTTGGTTCAACTCCTGTTGTTTTTAAATGTGCTATATAATTAAAAGTGACTTGACTTGACAATGTAGTACCTTGATGCAGGTGTTCTCACCTTGCCTTTCTTGCTTATCTTGCTTCGGAGGTAGCTGAATGTCCGACTAATTTTAGGTCCCCCTTTTCCTTCAGTGTCACTCCGCAAAGGGCCCGGCTCCTCCTCTGAAATACTGACCAACACACACACCATTACGGAGCCAGTCTGCTCCAATACACGCAACAAAAGGAGTGAAAAGTTTGCTCATTTTAATATAATTGAATACTTTTTGGTAGTGGGTTCCACGTAGATACAGCAATCTATAGAAATATTTGTATTTAAAGTAATTCTAGGGTTCCCACACATTTTCATGGGCTAAATTACAAAACTTTTCCATGACTTTTCAAGGACCCATAATAAAATTCCCATGACCAACAAAAACAGAAATGTACAGTATACTTTACTTCAAATGTTAATTATATTAATATAGGTGGTCAGTGGACCCAGAGCAGTAGAGCTCCCAGCACTGGAAAGTAACAGCCAACAGTACAGTTAGCCCACTGGTTAATTTGTTCACGAAAAAAAACATAACGCTCTGTACCTTGGAATGACTCTACTTTCAAAGCAGTTAAAACAAAACCAAAGTACGCAATGGTGCTCTGAGTGAAAAATGAACACCCAGGCTGCCCATGTCAATTGCTCCATCTCAAAAATTGTTATGATGTAAAAATGCTGGGGCATAGCTATGGAAACTTTGGGGTTAAAAACCCTACATGTTACATCACACTGTCACAACATTTTTCTAGCCTCACTTGTCCGACGGTATTTATATTATCATATATAATAAATTATGTTATATAATATGTAATATTATATAGTACATTATTTCAGATTTGAACTCTATTCAAACACAATTCCAGCTAGCTGACATATATGAATGGAGAGACTGATGGCATGGACAAAATGAAGAAACATACATGATGACAAAGTGTGTCACACATCAACACATTTTAGAGCTATGTTACTTCAGCAGCTACAGAAAATAAATTGCTGATATGTAACATTACTTGGAAGGATATCTACAGATGATTACTGTGACAATGAATTCCATTACACAAAACAAGATTCAATGACTTCCAAAACATTCAAGGATTTTACAAATTCTATGACTTTTCCAGTCCCGGAAAACGAGACCAGGGAATTCAATGTCTTTTCCAGGTTTTCCATGACTGTGGGAATCCTGTAATTCCATTAGAGTTACTGGCCTAGTGGAAATTGCATTACTGCACTAAACAAAAATAAAATCTCAGCAAAACTGTGGTACCCTGTATTTAATAGCAGTCTGTGTCTATATTTGGAAAGTTACTGACTTCAGCTGCAAGAGTATGGTTTACAATATAAGAATACTGTAGAAGCATTAATGCATGAAACAACACAGTAAAATAAGCTTCATCAGTTTCCTTTCTTACCTGTATTCTAGCGACCCGGAGTTACTGGACAAGGAGCTCACCCCTACAGTAAAGAGGACAGACATCATCTGATCAAGACAACACAGCTTCATGGCAATATCATTCATATAACACCTCCAACAAAGTGTTCAAAGTCAGATTTACTTATTAAAGGAAATGACTGCTTCAGAATGAAAATACAGATAGTATGTAGTATTATGCTATAAAAGTGGAGTAAATTATGTCTTTTCAAGTCAATTTTGCATGCCGCGGCTTCAGAGCACTTGGATTACGACAGACGAACCGTTCTGACGTTTTTGAAATGCATTAGTGGGTTCCGTGCACTTCAAGTGTATGGAAAAATCCAGCTGGCTGTTATCCTCCAATACCCCGAACGAGTTTTGTGGATTAAAAAACTACACTGGACTTCTTGTCGGCATGAGGGTGAGTAAGTACTGTCTGTATTTTCATTCTAAATTGGCCATTTCCTTTAAATCTGGTCCAGCAAAATGACAGTTTAAGTAAAGAGATAAAGTGCTGTTATAGACATAAAGCTAACAAAAGTTAACCAAGGAAAAAAGAGGGAAGACATGTGGGCTCAAGAATATTATCAGTGATGGAATGAGAAGAAGACAACACTGCTACAGGACCACCTTTCCATGTAGCAATTGTAAAACGAATATGTTGCTAGGGCTGGGCGATGTGGCTTAAAATAATACTGCACTATTTTTAGGGTTATTTATATATTATATTGCAATATTTTGAAAACTCATTCAAAATAGTGCAGACTACTAAAGACCTACAGGCACAAAGACACATGCTTCCTCTGCTCACTCTATTGTTAATCTAATCAAATTTAACTGTTAGTCAGCCAATCAGCGACTAGAGCTGGTCCTTATGAAGAGTTGGGCATGAGATAGTTGAGTCATGAGCACAATGGCAGACTGACAAAGTTTGGAGACAACTGAAAAACGGCCTAGCAAAAGAAAACGAGCTCCTCTGTCTGAGGAGGCAAAGAAGAGCAAAAAGGAGAGTGATAAGAGAAGCGGAAAAACAAGAGTAAACCTCAGGCAGGCGTTCAAGAGATGGAGGGAGCTCCATGACCAAAGAGGCTTCAAAACCTATGTCCAGCTAGCTTTCTCTCTAATGGATCAATAAGTAACACGGCTAAATGTTAGCTAGATGAGAGAGAACTGTACTGTACTGGCTGCTAGTTAATTCCTAGCTGGCCAGTATTGCAAATTGCTGCAACCAGGGACCAGGTAGCAAGTGTTGATCAGCTGACATCCTCGTTGCCGTTCTACGGCAGCCCTCTGACAGTGATACCCCCCTCCGTTCCTTCTGTTGACTTCTCACAGAGGCAGCTATCGACGGACATCGCCCAGCTAAGTTACGCCCAGCTAAGTGAACACTGGACTTTGTTTCCCATTCAATTTGAGCTCCAACCGGCCGCATCGTGTCCATACGGTACCGTTTATTCTAGAATCGGGACTGTTTACATGTGCATATTGATATAATTTACTGTGAGTTGTTTGTACTGGTACTGTGCATTCTGGTATAATTATTTGCATTACTATTTGTTTTTTCTTCAGATAAATCTGATAATTGTTGCTTGGTCTCTTTACTCATTTATTTAGTATAGTGTCCACACACCTTCTAATTCTACATATACATAGAGGTATACTGGTGGCTTTACAGCCTACATTTTATTGATTATCTCTGATCCCCACGGTCAATTTGGTCGTTGCGACAGTGCGACGCAACACCACTGACGCTAGGTGGTGCCAAGCTAAAAAAAAGAAACGAATCCTATCTGTTGCCTCTTTAATGTGGAAATTTCTTGTTTATAGTTTACAGTATATGAGGTGTACAAACTTTTCATACTGTACATTTTATAGCCTTAATCTACACACAGTAAATTAATATTCGATTTTTGTGTTTTTAATTAAGAGTTTTACTTGATAGATTCCTGTGCTTCCTGGATGACAATAAACTTGAACTTGAAGAAGATCGTGAGATGCATTTGAAAGGTAGTAATTGGACCTTGACTTGAGATTTGTTAAACTACTGTTTCCAAGAATAACAATGAATATTTATGTCCAAAAGTTCACACATTTGACTCATACAAAAGCAGACCATTGGGATGGTGGATTTGTGCTGTTAAGGTATTGGTGAGAATTGAAATCTGATCCAGGAAGTTCATTCAGAGTAACTGATTGACGCGTTTAAAGGTTTATCTCACACCAAATAATGCACTACGGTTTGTAATATGATGAAATGGAATTTTACAACTCTGGATAGATATCATGGTGGAAATGTTTCTTTTGTCCCAATGATCGATGGAAATACAGTGATCTCAATATAACATAATCTATTAGGAATGTGTGTTTGTATGTATGTAACTGGCCAACAGAGCACCTTGCCCGATGACATCACATTGCCTTGCAGC